TATTCTACTTACAGCCGACCAGCGCCCTCGCTGACCACCAGCGGACCGTGGCGCAGGCGGACATAGCATACCAAGGCATGTTTCACACGACGGGACCGTTTGGCCATACTCATGCTCGGGCACACCACAGTCTGAGTGATTGCTGCACGCCATGGTACATTGTATTGTAAGGTCGAACACCGCTGGTATGACCGGCAGTCAACCGCAATCGGTGGTCCTGCAGTAAACTACAATCGGTGGTTCCAAGCGATGGTCCCGCACAGCACGCTGGCCAGTTTCATCGTGTTGACGCAGACCAAATTGGTGAGTTCTGAGCGATAGNCCTCCGACCAGGCGGGAGGGGCGGGGCAATGACAAAAACAAGGCAAAAATACCAAGAATTATCCCTGACCCTAAACCTAGCCCCCCCTCTACTCAACGATCCATGACGCGTCCCCCATACTAAAAACAGCATATTAGTGGCCCCCACACTGAAAACAAGACACTTGGGGGGACCACACTAAAACCAAGACACTTACGGGGCAAAGCAAGCAACAGTATGGCCCTCATCCAACCCTCCCCTCTACTCAACGATCAGTATAGTAGTGAACCACACTAAAACCAAGACACGTGGGGGTCACACAANCTTACGGGGCAAAGCAAGCAACAGTAGGGCCCTCATCCAACCCCCCCCTCTACTCAACGATCCATGTCGCGCCCCCTATACTAAAAGCAGTATAGTAGTGAACCACACTAAAACCAAGACACTTGGGGGGGCACACTAAAATCAAGACACTTGCGGGACAAAAAGAAGGGTTGGTTGGTGGCGGGGAAAAAAAAGAAAAAGTCGACTATTCTTCCTCATCATCACTTGGACTCGATGCCGCCGCAATCTTTGAAGGGGTGAGAAGCGACGGCCGCCCACTTTGCTTCGTTTGAAAGGCCCAGCTCCTGGGTGTTGTCGATCTGGGTTTTGACCCGTTTCCACAACTTGGACGGGTACTTCTTTCTTACACCGTAGCGTTCGCAGATCGGGTCAAGCACGCCCTTGGGAATCCTTGACAACCCCGGCTGACTGCCCGTCGCAATTTCTACCGCCATGGCATAGCGCCTACCAACCGATAATGCGGTGCCCCTTTTGCGAGGTGGTGTGCTGGGGTGCGATTCCCTCGCTAGAGTAGGGTAGTAAAATGGATTTGAGAATTTTGTCGGGAATTCTCAAAAAATATCCCAAAATATTTTCTCAAAAATATTCCCAAAACAGGCCAAAATAGNAAGAGCAGACCCTGGGATTGTTTGGCTGGCACACAGTGTTTCAGTCTCACAGATTTATCTGTCTCTTCCAGCGGTGGTCTTGATTGATTGGGAGTTTGGCTGGCACAAAGTGTTTCAGTCTCACAGCGTGTCTGACTCTCATTCTTTCCCCAAACTCAAACAAAAACACCCGGGGGGGTATCCAAACAACCCGCCCACCACACCACACACCACCACACACCACCACACACCACCACACCACCGAAACCGGAGAAACTGGAACCACGACATTGCCATATATCCTAGAGACTATCCACCCTCGCCGTACGACACGTGTCCATATACATACATACATACATACATACGATGATGGCCAATTGGCCAACGGTTGTANGTTGGCAGTGGTGGCGCAGTTTGGGTAGATACAACACAGAGTGATCATTAGATCCAAAACACAGGCGCCCAAGCTGTCTTCACCTGACGGTTACAGACTTGGAGACACGCCTTCACAATACTGCACAAAACCCATGCAGTAGAATAGAGTCAGTTCTTGCATACAAATCCCAACATGTCCTCTCAAGAACTACGTCATGACTAGCTCTGAAAGATCGCCCCGGATCGCGGATGAGCGCGGAGGCACACATACCCGCCGTCGTCGGATCATGGATCGTGGATCGTCCCGAATGTTGGGATTTGTATGCAAGAACTGACTCTATTCTACTGCATGGGTTTTGTGCAGTATTGTGA